TGTGCGTTGCCAATGGTTGATGTGTATCTCTGAGATTTGGAGCTGTTGTGGTTTGAAGGCTTGGGTTATCCGGATGCATTGGGCTTGCTACAGGCCTCCTATAGTTATATACTTTGTAATTTATTCATTTGCTTATGGTCTGTAATAATTATTTGTAATAACGATGGGACAATAATGAATTGGGGAAAACTGGGCCTAGTTTAATGTTTGCATGAGAACGGGGTAGAAAACTTGCTTTAGGTGCATGTTTCTTTCAAATGTTTTCACTACTAGATGTTAGATATCCTACCTATAGGTTATTTACTTGTTCAATTATATTCTGTTACTGCATGCAATAGATAACATGCCTATATGTATTTGTTTCAATACATTCTATTACTGTGTGCGATAGATAACATGCCTATAGAATTTAATTTGTTCAACATGTTCCGATTCACTTTTAGATTTCATGCCTATAGGATCAAAATAGTTTTGAATATCCCGTCAAGATTCACTACTACATTTAAAATCACGCCCACTAAGTTTCAAAATCAGTTCTGTATTTTTAAAAATCACGCCTATAAAGTTTTAAATCACTTCTGCATTCAGATATCATGTCTATAGGAAATTTCAGAATCATTTCGCATTTAGATACCATGTCAATAGGAAACTTCAAAATCATTTATGCATTTAGATACCATGCCTATAAGATCTTAAGATTCGTTCTTCCAAACTTAGATATCATGCCTATAGGGTCTAAAAGATAAAATCAGCCTGCTAAAATCAATAACTGTTTATAGCTCAGATACCCCATTTACAAAATTCTATCCGGCTATCACTTAGGCAATCTTGTAGGTTAATTGGATTCTGGGTTTGAAATTGATATTTTTCTGCTGCTTGAAACGTGCCCAGATTCGGTAGGGAATAAAAAGATCAGTAGGCAAAACTAATAGGTATTCACTGTTTCACCTAATAACTATTGTCTATTCTGTTTATACTCATTTAGATATCCTACATATAGGACTCTTAAAATTATAAAAACTCATTTGTCTGAATGGCGTGCACTTGCTTTGTGTCTATTTGTGTAGGTAAATATGAGCCCTTAAGTGATCTTTTATGTGACAGTCCTACTTGTTTTGTTTGTCGCTTAGTTTTCTCTTTTTAAACACTACAGGTGAGTCTAGAACCGCCTTAAATAGAGGTCCTAAACACCTCCAGAGCCACAGGTAAGAGACGGGTAATCATAAGGCACGTACTGGATGCTATTAGAACACTTAGGTAACGATGATTAAGGGGATGGAAATTGGGTAGTAAAGTATATGATGACATGTACGCTAATGCTACGCATAACACCTCTATTTGAGGAAAGTTTACCGAGTATTGCACAGAAGTGATCCTATAGGCTAATAAACCTAGGAGCCCCTTTATCCCGTTTAAATAATCTCTATTTGTTTAAATTGCTTATGACTAATTCACTTAAATTGAGTTTGGTTGGGACCCACCATTGTGGACCTCGAGGAATGCCTAACACCTTTCCCTCAAGGTAATTTCGAGCCCTTACCCAATCTCTGGTACCACAAACTGGTTTCATGAGTTAATTGTCCTAGGTTCCCTAACGCACCTTAATCCGTTAGGTGGTGATTCTTCAAATTCCATACCCAATTGCCAAAAGGAAAGGAGTTGTCCAAAATGTCGAAACCCAGACTCCGCGAGAAAAAAAGGGGCGCGACAGCTGATGATGTTGCTTAGTATGTGAAGACTTGCCTAGTATGCCAGAAAGACAAGCCAGGCCGCTTGACACAGGCGGGACTTTTGGAGCCATTGCCTGTTCCAAAGAGATCTTGGGAAAGCATTTTACTGGATTTCATCACCAGATTATCCAAGGTCGGAGATCTTACAACTATCCTGGTTGTGGTGGATCGGTTTTCCCAATATGCTACGTTTATAGTAGCCCCACAATATATATCAGCAGAAGATACAACTCAACTCTTCTTCTCTCATATTGTCAAATACTAGGGTCTGTCTAAAGACATCATTAGTGATCGTGACTCTCACTTTACTAGCAACTTTGGACTCAACTCTTTAAGTGCCTTTGGTCAAAATTGAGCTACAATTTAAGTTTCCATCCACAATCTGATGGCCAGACGAAGCGGTTCAATGGAATGTTGGAGGAATATCTTCGCCATTTTGTTACCATATCGCAGAAAAATTTAGTGAAGCTTCTGGATGCTGCTCAATTTGTTTCAATTCACAAAAGAGCACTAGTACAGAAAAAGTGCTTTTAAAATTATTACCGGACAACAACCACTACTCCTATACAATATGAATGTCCTAAACATGTCGAAATCTCCTCAACCTGCTAGCTTCTCAAAGGAATGGAAGAGAAATTTGGAGATAGTGCAGAGCTATCTTATCAAAGCCCAAAAGCGGATGAAGAAGCATGCTGATCAAAACCATCGCTTTATTAAATACCAAGTAGGAGATAAAGTGATGGTGAAAATCCCAAAGTGATACTTGTTTGTAGGGATCAATGACCCTTGTCTGTTGCAAAAATACATTGGACCCTTGTCCATTGAGAAGCGCATTGGGAAAGTTACATACCGGGTGGATACCCCAGCCTGGTGGAAGATTCATCCAATCTTTCATGTTAGCCTTCTGAAACCATTTCGGGAAGACATGGAGGATCCTTCACAGAGCTAACTCACAATACCAGTATTCGAGGCCCTAACTCAATAGGAAAAAGGTGTGTAGAAGCTATTCTCGATGATCGAGTTGTTCATGCTTCAAGGAAATATCACCAAGAGCTCTTAGTAAAATGGCAGGGTTGTGATGCAGAGGAGAATACTTAGGAGAGGCGAACAAACCTCAAAGCCTAATCGATTGTTACCTTGCAAGTAAGGCGTCGAGGACGTCGCAAACTTAGGTGGGGTGAATGTCATGGGCGGCTTTCCAGCCATGCCCCAAGACCCCTTGGACGTGCCCCATGGTGTCCAGGTAACCTTCCATCGCGTAGCGCCATGGACAACCCCGTGGTCTTGGCCGCGCCAAGTGACAAACGTGCATGTGCCTATGTCGCCCCACCGATAGCCTTCGCCAGCTCCTAGCCGCAGGCAGATGCCAACAGTGTCGCGCACACAGATAGTGTTGCGCGCGCATACTCTGATGCTAAAGACAAGATTGCTGCCAATGGACCTGCTTCTACCTTGTAGGAATCTATGTCCTTTTCATTGTAAATATAGAGCAATTTTATTTCATATATTTCCATTATATCTCTCTAGCTTAGTTAGGTCAAGTCCTATAACTTTGATTTATTTTTTTAAGCATTATTAGGGGGGATCAAACGTTCAAACTTTCTAGAAAGCAAAGAATTCTCTGTACTGGTGTCTCTCCCTTTGACACTGTGTTGCTTTTCTATAATAGCTTTCATTAATGCAATCAAGCTTTCTTTCATTCTCAATTTTCTTTCCTGTTTTCTCAATTGCTCTTGACATTGATTTTTCTGTACGGCACTGACAATCTCGTCTAGCGTACGGAGGGACTTCAGTTGGCGGATGGTAACTATTCAGACCTCGGTTGCTTAGCCTTATGTCGCCTTTCCAAGGAATATATCAGGAAGGCGCCGCATACCAGCAAAGTGTGAAAAGAATTGCTCAAGCATGAATTATTTCTCTTTTAACAATGCTAATATGAAGATTAATTGAGGGAGTAAGACAAGTAAATTCTTTAGAAATAAACCTAATCAAACTTGTAAGTTCCAGCATGAATGTCTATTGGTACAATTCACATGTTAAAACACACTCGGCGCCGCCTCTACATGACCGAAGGACTTGAGGAGGGAGAGGGGAAAGCAAAAGGAAAAAGGAGGACACAAACTTAGCTGACATACAGTTGGGGAAATTAATAAGTTAAGTTATCCAAAAATTTGTTGCCTTGTCATTCCTATCCACTCTTCTATTGCCAACTCTGCACTTTCTTTTCCCCTCACGTGTCACCTTTCCCCCAAAAACCCTACTACTTCCCTCCTTTTATCACATTGGTCCAGCCCCACTAATTAAATCTACGGGGTATTGATGTATATTTGAAAACCGACTAAACCGATTAAACTGTACCGTACTGAATCGATTCTTAGGGTTCTTTTAAAGAAATCGTAGATTTTTATATAAATTAATAACCGTATCGGTAATTGGGGTAGATTTTTTATTTTATAAAAATAAACCAAAAAAATACCGAACCGTACCGAATAAATTTTACATGTGAAAAATATATTTATAGAGTAAGCTTAAAACTAATAAAGCATTAAATTTTTTATTAGGCCTTGGAATTATGAAAACTGTTACAAGCTAACAAGTAATTAAACTCAAAATACTAATTCCTAAAACCTATTATTCTGCTTATACTTAAACTAAGTTATTTCAAGTATCTTTATTAAGAAAGACACAAAATATTCCAGCGATTATGAGTAGCAAATATAATGTATTGAATATGTTTCCTTTCATATAATTTAGATTTATTTTTTTGAATATTTAATATAGACTTTATTCTTGAGTCTCAGCTTGATTAATATCTTTCCACTCGTGTGATTTATATTTTCTTTGCTTTTACTTAGTTTCTTTTACGTTACTGTCGAATAGTTGATCTATCCATACTTTAGCCATCTTTCATGTTTTTTAATTCATCACCTTTTAAACAGTAAAAATGTCTAGAGAGTTTTAATAAGTCCTATAAAAGAACGCGTGTTATTGCATTCTACTTTTACTAGTGAATTTTACATGACATTTAAAAAAATACCAAAAATTAACCGAACCGTACCGATACCGAAGTGAAACCGACATGATTGAGATGATTTCGAAAAGTCTAATTTTAGTTATGCATAATAGAATAATCGAAAAATTAGTATGGTACAAATTTTATAAAATAACCGCCCGAACCGAACCATTGACACCCCTAATTAAACCCCAAAGACTTATTACATGCCATTTTATCACACATTAGCAAGTTTTGTTTAAAAAGGAAAATACTTCGACAAAAACTGACCTTGTTCCTGTTTTCCCCCTTAAATGAAACTGCAACTACTTTCTTCTTCTACTTCTTCTTTTGCCACAGTTTTCAGTTCAGACACTACCCAAAAACCAAAATTGTTACAACCTTAACCCTACTAAAGTTTCCTTGATCTCCTGAGGAAGCACTTGGGGGTACTATATTTACCAAGAAGAAGAAGAAGAAGAAGTGAAACCAAAAAAGGAAAGTTAAAAAATCAAAACTTTAGCCGACTTGGAACCTCCTTGTTCCACCCCTCTTCCAATACACCCCAGGTCAGCTCCCCCCACCGCCTCCTCTTTCTTTGTTTTGTTTTCTTACTTCTTAATTTGGTATATGAATTATTTGCCTTTGTGTTTGCACGCGCCTTAACATGCTAATACTCCACGCACACGCACACACATAGACAGACAACTACTAGAGAATTACCTAAGACATGATTTGTGTGTTTGTTATTTTTTAATCCTGTTCTAAAGATTTGAACTTTGGGATCTCTCTTTTAGTGTTTAGCAGTTTCCTTTTGGTTTGTGTACTTGATCCCTGTTATGTTTGAAATTGAGCTTTACTTCTGTCTTTTGAGCTTAATAATCTATTTAGCAAGTCCCAACGGTTTCTTGGAAGATAAATTCTTGCAACTAAGTTGTTCAATTGACAAAAGAAAAAACCAATTCTTTTGTCCAGTTTTGTATTATGAATTAATTGCCTTTGATTTAAATCCTTTCTTGCTTTCTGGTAGTGGAATTATTCTATCGGGTTTTAAGTGAACTTTCCAAAAATCTTTTTTTTTTCCCTTATTTCCTTTGGTACTTGTTACAGATGAGAATTATTTCTAATTAGAGGTGGGTGGTCTCCCACTTATTTGTTCTAAAAACCCTAGAGCTCTATAGTTTTATAGAGAGGACACTTCAACCTGAAATGTTGTGCCTAAAGATGGTGTACATAGATGTTGGCAATATTCTTTAAGCAAAAACACCAACTATTATATTGTAAGATTTAACATCAAGAAGACATGATTAATAAATATTTATGATGCAATTGGTCTTCATTAAAAACCGTTGTATTTGGTGCAATTGGTCTTCATGGAAATGATGTTGAAACCAAGAAAAGTATGGACTAGAGACCATTAACAATTTGTTTGGATGGTTGTTACATATCGTTTCATAATGTATCGTATCATATTGTATTGTATTGTACTGTATCGTTTGATGAATACAATGTTTGGATGAATTGTGTCGTTTTGCCGTCGTTTCATGGCATCATGCACCAATAATATGATGATTAAACTTGTAATATTACAAAGAAAAATTATAATACGGTATATAAAAAGGTAGGGTAAATGATAAAATAAAACTATTTAATAATAATGAAGGGTGAGATTCAGAGAAAAACACAAGGAAACGACGCGACCACGCCAAATTGGTCGTTACATAAAGTGGCACATTTCATCGTTACGTAACGACGGATTTAACGATACGATACAATAAAATTTAAGTAACAATCAAAACAAACATTGTATTTAAAGTAACAATACGATAACGATACATAAGAAAGACTTGACCTTTAGGATTAATGGATGGCATTATTTATATTTTGAAATTTAATTATATTGAACCAGAATGTGAAGTTCAAGCGTTCTGAACGGGGTTCGCAGTTAAGTNCAGTTATGTAGTCATGGAAAGGATTTTCCTTTTCTTGATAATCTGTTAGTCTACAATGTTTTCTCTAGAGAACATAGCAATTTCTTTAAGAAAATAAATTAATATTTTTAATAAGATTTATTAGTTTGAAATGAGTACATGCCTTATTTACACAAGCACATCCCTCTTAAATTGTGCTTCAGTTTCTCTATATTCAGAGTCACATACAGATTGCACTGTAAGTTTAAACGATTGCTTTGCATGAATTTGTAAATTATTTTTTTTCTTTGATGGCTTTAAGGCTTCTTTCATCCTTTTTACAGTCAGCTTGTTGATAAAGTTGAATCGTTTTTGTGTAGACCAAAAAAAAGGGAATATGACATTTGTTTCTCATTGTTATGTTATGTGTGGTAAGATCGGTTTGTTCTTAGGCGGAGAGGTTTTTTGACCCAGTTTACACCGATATATTTACAAGTATAATTTTTTAAGCCCTCTATTTACATAACTCAACCGTAAATAATGTGGATTTGAGGCATAGTGTTCTCTGGTCTTCTTTTTATTTCATAAGAATAGCTTTTGAGGCAGAATTTGTATATTATTTGCTTATCAGAAAAGCAAGAAACTGTATACTTGTTCCTACGACAATGACTGCATAATCTCGCTAGGTGGAAAATGGTTGGAGTTCTAACTTCTACCCAAAAAAAGAAAGTGGAAGAGTTCTAATTTCTTTTCCCTATTTATGATCCATCTAGCCTTTAATCGAGTGCACCATCTCTGAATTATTCACGTGGTCCCCGAGTATACAATCAATTGACCCAATGGGAGCTGGGGAAGAGAGCACCCCTACAAAGCCTTCAAAACCGGCTTCAACTCAGGTCCCTTTCCTTCTCTTTCTTTTCTTTTGTACATTTAAGGCTAATAAGTCATCAAACATGTGCTATTCTCTCTCTCTCTCTCTCTCTCTCTCTCTGTATGTGTGTGTGTGCACAGATGTATTAATGTATGTATTGGCTGACTGCTAACGTGTTTTCTAATGTTTGATCAGGAGACACAAACTACACCCTCATATCCTGATTGGTCAAGCTCTATGCAGGTTGATATTAAGTTCCATAATGATTAAGCCAATAACATGAATGCTGATGAATAAGTTTTCTAGTTTTCTAGTCTATCAAGCACTAATTCTCTTTTCCTGGTTAGGCTTATTATAGCGCTGGAGCTACTCCTCCCTTCTTTGCCTCACCTGTTGCTTCTCCTGCTTCCCACCCATACTTGTGGGGAGGCCAGGTAATTGATTTTTCATTCCTAATTTATTTAGTTTCCTGCTTTACAAGTTTTCTATCACACGACCTCAGAACATATCTATAGAGTACTTTCTCTGATCACCTTGTGATATTTCAGCATCCTCTTATGCCTCCTTATGGGGCTCCAGTCCCGTATCCAGCTTTATATCCTCCTGCTGGAGTTTATGCTCATCCTAACATGGCCACGGTAATGAAGCTTATCGGTAATTTTTTTCGTATGAATTTGAAAGCTGATGAAAGGAAGTCACCTCTTCTTCAAAAAAAAAAAAAAAGATACTTCATGTTAATACCTTTGTTCATGTCTTTTCAGCACACTCCAAACGCTGTGCAGGCAAATCTTGAATCAAACAGGAAGGATCCTGAAGGAAAGGATCGGAGTACGAACAAAAAGTTAAAGGCCAGTTCTGGTGGCAAGGCAGGCGACAGCGGGAAAGTTGCTTCGGGTTCTGGAAATGATGGTGCCACACAAAGGTCTGATTTACAATCACATTTTCCACAGATTCTTCTTTTTGGGTTGGTCATGCATCTAATTGGAATATTTTTTTCTTGAACAGTGATGAAACCAGAAGTGAAGGTACATCAGATACAAATGATGAAAATGATAACCATGTGAGTATTCAGATCAATCTAACCACCTTTTGTTCTTTATTTAGATACTATGGAGATCACGAGTCTCAATTTTATGCTTACCTTGTCCTGTGATTGCTAGTTGATTTTTTATTTTATTTTTTTGATAATATGTAATCTCAGGAATTTGCTGCAAGTAAGAAGGGAAGCTTTGATCAAATGCTTGCCGATGGTAACTTCTGTGACCTTTCTTCTCGGTTCTGACATTCTTACTTCAATAACTGAGTTTCTAAATCTGGCGATTATCAGGAGCCAGTGCGCAGAATAATCCCACAACAGCAAATTACCAGACCTCTATGCATGCAAATCCTGTCACTGTGCCTGCAACTAACCTAAATATTGGAATGGATGCGTGGAATGCATCATCTGCCGGTCCTGGAGCGATCATAATACAGCCAAATGCGAATGGTCCAGTTATAGGACATGAAGGAAGGATGAATGATCAATGGGTTCAGGTACATTTTCTTTTCTTTAGCTTTTTTCACTCACTGAAATCAGTACTGTCATTTTTTACCAGATTAGTTCATGTATTCTGTCCTTCAAATTGTCCAGTCTAACTGCTTGTCTGCAAAAAGCTGCATATATTCCACCCATCTGTAGCAGATGGCTTCACTGAAGGTGGAATATTTTCTCTCGTAACACTAATTGTTGGTGTATCTTGAGTCTTAATATAGAGAGTTCCATGAATAGACGTAAAACAAATGGCTAAAAAGACTAATTTGTGAAATCTTTAGTTTCACAATTGTGAGTGAAGAAAGATCACAACCTGGAGAACTCTTAAAAGCACCCAACACTCTGATTTTACAAGGCTTCAGGTGTTTTAATTTGGTTGGTCCAGAAATAGCTCCGAGTTAAAATACGCCAGAAAACTCCTGAAGCTAGGCTGGTTTCATTCTTTATGGATTAAAATTGCCTGTTTGTAGGATTAGATTTTCTTATCAAATTTTTTGCATGAAAATATTTAAACCTTCATATGGTTCAAAAGGGACTATAAAACTGAACTTCCTTATATCATTAGTTCTTCCATGGTTCCATCTCGATTTTTCTGTATCTCTGGATATATCAGCATCTTGTGCTTGTTTGAAGTCCGTGGTTCTACCGTATAACACTGCCGCCGCCACCACCCCAGAAAAATTTCATGGTTCTTTCAGGTAGAGCAGTAAATTATGTAAGACGCGAAAGGCACTTTTCCATATTCCATAGGTCGATAGTGCCCCTTCATTTTTGTGTGCCAGAGCAAGTACACAATCAATGATGGGGTTATAGCCCTGTTATCATCGTTTTTCTGTTTCTTTTTGTTGATAGATTTCTTTATAACCCTGCTTTTGACAGGACGAACGTGAACTTAAAAGACAAAAGAGAAAGCAATCTAATAGGGAGTCAGCTAGGAGGTCAAGGCTACATAAGCAGGTATGAGTTACTCTTTGTAGATAATGTTACTCTTTCCATCTTTTACCGGTCAGAGTTGACTATATGTCTTTTATTATGAGCCATAAAGATTCTTCTCCACATGGCTTTAGACTTAGACATCTGGTTTCAAGCAGAGGCCCCCAAATTTATTTCTAATAATAAATAAAAGCAGCTCTTAAAGACAATGATGTGGTTTACAGTCTACACACCAATATAAAGCCTTAAGATCATTCTGTTTTACGCACCCAAGAGTGGCCTAGTGGTCAATAAAGTAGGTGAGAACATGAGGTCTCTGGTTCAAAACCTAGCGGACCTAAAAAATACTAGGTGATTTCATCCCATCTATCCAAGCCTTGGTGGATAGAGTTACCTGGTACAAGTTGCTGGTGGGAGGTGGCAGGTATCCCGTGGAATTAATCGAGGTTCGCAGAAGTTGGCCTTGGCACCACGGTTATTAAAAAAACGATCATTGTTTTACGCCATCATATGGCACACTGATCTTTTTGCATTTTCGTCTAGCCACATTAACTTAGACTGATGCTTCAAGTTCCCTGTTTCAACCAAATCATTAATATCTTATGATGATGAATTTTTCTAGTTGATTGAAACACATTTGTGTCACCTTTATGAAAGGTCTCCGGCACAAATAAGTAAGAATATGGGAATGCAATTCGATGTGATATCTGCATATCATGCTCTAATCTGCAGATAGTGTTTTAAGGCCCTAGTAACTGTAACTTTCTTTCTTAGTGTTTTCTCTTTTTCTCTGAAAGAACAAGATCTGGTGTCTCCCTATTATTTCAATTCGTGAAGGCAATGTAAAGCACATGCTAGAAAATTTCTTCGAGTTGTAGAAGACAAATTAACGGATGGTATGTACCAGAAATGGAATATAGTGTGAAAAGCAACAGGAGATGCAGTCATATCAAATGTCACATAAAACAAACCACTTATAGACTGTCTCCCTTAAACCACCATCCTCTTGAAGGCTGATTACCTGTTCTCAAAAGTTAGTCTGGCCCAACTATGTCTAACCCTTTCCAAAGAGAATCTTATTTCAAATCCTAGTACAGCCTCTTTTATGGACCCGTAGTCAATACTTAATATTCTTGTTCTCTCACCTTATAGACTTAATTGTTAATTATAATTACTGATCCCTTTGTGAAACTGTTTCGTAATCATCCTAGCTAAGACATATTATGTAAACGTAGGGAGTAATAAGTATTATATTTGAGAGACATGGTTGAGTAAATGTAGCCACTAATGTATAATATACTCTCCTTTAACTATCAGTTAAGCTCTTGAAAACATCTTTAGCCCTCGAGCTCCCGGAAAGGCAATTGTTCTAAGCAAAACAGCTTGAACCAGAAAACTATTAAGTGACAAATAAAAGCATATATGACCATGGATCTTGATGGGCTTAATTGAATAGGAAGTGGATAACTGGATAGAAGTGTAAATACCCATTATAATTTCTCATGTCATTGGGGATCGATGCATAGCCCAAGTGTATCCACCCAAAAGGAGAAAGATAGAGAAGACCATATTCACGCAGATGCAGTATTCAGCTACTGTTTTCTCCTAATGATAGTTGTTAGTTAAATTAAATGGTTACATGAAGTGATGGGAAGCGTCATTAAATTAATGCCAAGAAACAAAGGAATTGGCTGCTTTCCATTTTAGGAGTTCATCTTACTGTATGTGGACTTTTCCTGTCCTTGTATATGACATCAGTTTAGAAAGGAGTTACAACTAGTGACAAAGTGTAAAAATTCTTCCCGTGCACATCAAGAACTCAGCCCGCACAAAAACATGATACTCTTTTCCATTCATGTTACAACAGCAACCAGAATTCCAGCAGGATAGCAAACAAGCTGATTTTAGTTATTCATGTTCATGGGCGGTTTGATTGTTTGCTTGCTCCAATTTCTGGAATCCAGATTGTACTCAAAATTTCTTTTAGATTTTCTGGCTGTCATGTTGTTTTCTGTTTCTTATTTTTGCAGGCTGAGTGTGAAGAGCTGCAGCGTAGGGTAGAAGCTTTGAGCGGCGAGAATCATTCACTCAAAGATGAGCTCCAACGGCTCTCTGAGGAATGTGAGAAGCTTACGTCAGAGAATAGTTCGATAAAGGTACTTAATACCTTCTTAAGTGTTCCTCTAATTGCTCATCATCCTCTATATTTGGTTGCCCTCATTTTTAAGTAATATTCTCAAGTACCCTCTTCACGTGATCCCCTTTTCCTTTCCCTCATCTTCTACCTTTGTACTTTATTGGGATAGTACGATGCTGCTTCTCGAATAGCAGTTTGTTATAAAATGTGAGGCAATTAGCATCGTGGAATCTTTTGCTGCAGCATCGTGTTCATCTTTTTCTATAGTACTATTTTGTTGTTCTTTTTAACCTGACCAAGCAGTTCTGAAGGGGAGAAAGATGGAAGTACTAATATTATATGGTGGTGCAACAGGAAGAGTTAACGCGGTTGTGTGGGCCAGATGCTGTGTCTAAGCTAGAGAGCAACGGCAATGCCAGTCATCTACAATCTAACGTTGAGGAAGCTAATTAAGGAAAAGCCAGGACTGAGTAGGTGATTTAAGTTACAACTTACAAGTGCTCACAAATATTTCAGGAGCCAAAAGAATTCATTGCTTCTAGGTGCAGCAGAATGAGAAATGTTTGTTGTCCTACTAACCTATACCCTTTAACCCTTTTTGAGTGCGACTGGAACATTTATTTTCTAGTTGTAACCCCAGTGTTGAGTCAGTCTGTGCTCTTGTTAAATTAACTACAATAACTGGAATGTAAACTAAGTCGTCTTTCTGGTGAGTGCACCACTAAGTACTGTTGGAATTTGACCTTCTTTGCATTGGATATCTTTAAAGCCTCTTGCATTGAATGTGGATGAGATTTTGGCAGGGAATATCTTTTAGGCCAGCACTAAGGACAGAAATATGAGAAAATTAGCAATTTACTTTTCAATTCTAAACTAATTAGAGTTGGTTATATAAATTTTATATAATTCATTTTGTTTATGTATAAGAATACTTCAGTATTTTCATATTGGTACATATATAACTTAAATCTTTTGGTAATACATTAAAATGTTTTGCATAAGCAGTGCAGTTGAATTTGTATAGGGGGTTACTAACATGTAGTTATTGTATTAGTTGACTTAATGATGTAAAAGTTATTGGTTGCTAATCTATATATAATATAAAGCTAGGCATAGACAAGATGATGTGACACCTCTTTATGGCCTAGAAGATCATTTATCTTTTTTCTCCTTTTTTTGAATTTTTTTGTCTAATTCTTTTAACGGAAAAGGGCCAAAAATATCCCTAACGTATTGAAAATGGCTCAAAAATGTCCTCCGTTAACCTTTTGGTCTAAAAATACCCTTAAAGTATTGAAAATGGCTCACGTATACCCTTAATGTTTTATTTTTTGCTCACATATACCCTTGAAACTAACAAAACATGAATGATAAATTTTTGGTTCACCTTCCCTCAATATATCATATATTTTTATATGTATTTTATACCAACACACACACACACACACATATATATATATATAAACTAACAAAATATCCCATACATATTCTTTAAAGTTGTGTATTTTATACTTTATACATACCACTATTATATAATTTATCACATATATATTATAATAGAAAATATATAAGAATCACCGGTAGAAGTTATAACATATACCCTTGAAACCAACAAAACATGAATGGTAAATTTTTTGTTCACCTCCCATCAATATATCATATATTTTTTATATGTATATACCCCACACACACATACATATATATTACTTTCTGGGAAGAACATAATGTTGACGGGTCATTCACATATTTTTTTTGTTTATTAATAGAAAATTAACCATAATAATAATAGAGAATAAATAAATAAATAAAATCTCATCTTTTAAAAATTAACAAAGACATATGTTACTTATTCAAAACTATATTGACATCTAATGGAACAAATTGTAATGGAGCGGAACTGCTCCCTTTTTTTGTCATGTTATAACTTCGACCGGTAGTTCTTATATATTTTCTATTATAATAGTATATGTGATAAATTATATAATAGTGGTATATATTAAGTATAAAATACACAACTTTGAAGAATATGTATGGGATATTTCATTTGTTTACGTGTATTATGATGTGTATATATATATAAAAAATTTAAGTATGTGGCATAAAATACATATAAGAAAATATATGATATATTGATGGAAGGTGAACCCAAAAATTACCATCTATGTTTAGTTAGTTTCAAGGGTATATGTGAGCCAAAAATAAAATGTTAAGGGTATTTTTGAGCCATTTTCAATACGTTAGGGGTATTTTTAGACCAAAAGGTTAAGGGAGGGCATTTTTGAGCCATTTTTAATACGTTAGAGGTATTTTTGGCCCTTTTCCGTTCTTTTAATAACAAATTCAATATATTTCTCTCATATTCTTCATTAATGACACTTATTGCTAATGAGCAATCACTACATACGTTCAAATATTAAAACAAAATGAGGCCCATCTTAAGTGCAGCTACCGTTACAATTCTATCATTGTGCTCCCAAGTTTTTTCTTTTTTAATTCTTCAAAGTTGCTATGAGAGAGCGCATTGGAGTCCAAGACAACCAAATCTAAAGTGAACAGATGCATATTTTCAATCAAGAAGTTGTCCCAATTGAAAACATCGTTATATTGGAGAGTACGTAATCCTACAAATCTTGATTTTCATGTCTAAGGTTTCACGGATATATGGGCGTTAATTTATCTCATGTGAATTTTTTGTTGGAAGTGCAAAAGGTTTACTTCAACTGGACAAATAGAAACTCCCTCTACAAGAAGAAGATTTGAAAAATGTAATTTTTCTTTTAAATTAATGTGCATATGCTTTGTAGGAAAGAATGATGTATAGGCTTCCTATTTGTCTCTTTTTTCGATAGTTTCTTTGTTAAACGTGAATGGTTAGAGGTTTGGTCCATATCCCCCTCGAACATAAGTAACATTTTTTATTTATTGACATGTATGATCATAATATTGTTTCTGCAATTTCACTCAATTCTTTCTATTTAATTATTTTTTTTAAAAAAATCCAAAATCTATGTATTAGTAAAGAAACAATCGGTTAGAAAATTCAAAAGTCATTATCAAAAGTTACAACCATTATTTATAGTCCAAAAGTCTATAGGTATGCTTTGCTAAAAGTTATAACCGTTGCCAATATTAATAACAATTATTAGTATCTTTAAATTAGACCCATGTTTATTATGATTTATGGATCATTATTCATTATGCATGATTTGTTTTCCTCCTTATCAGAAAAGAGCAAGTGAGAACGGTTTAACTTTAAGCCTTTGAATTTTAGAATTCTCATCATCTCAAGGTTGAAAATGAAATCATCTGTAAATGTTTTAGCTTTAATATATTTTAATCCAACAGGTTATTTGTCAATGAAATCAACCTGATTTATGTTTGAAGGAGACAATGGGACAACCAGGGAGGAGGAAAGTTTGAAAAAATTATATAGTAGAAAAAATAATTCGATTTTTTAAATATTAATATATTCATATAAGATGAAATGGGGGAGAACTTTAGATTGAATGCTTGGATTAAATGTCTATACTTCCATTTTATATATGATAATGATTTTTTTTGTATTTTTTATTTTCTTTCATTAAATTTATGATTTTTATATTTGTAAAAAAGTTATTTTTATAACCGCGTAAAGCGTGGCCAAATACACTAGTATTTTATATAATTGTCTGCAATTATTTTTTAGATGACTTAATATGTGGTAACACCATACTGCTTCAGTGCGTCTCCTCACTTATCAGCAGCTAGTTTATCGAATCTACCTGATTTGACTATACATAGGTTTAACTTTATCTTTTAATGAAATTTCTCGGAATTATTCACAAGTCACAATCTATTACTCCTAATTGAACATGGCCATGTTTTTAGGTAACAATTACGCGAGATACTCTATTTGGTCTCTCCTAATTAATTTATACTTATATTTTTAAAATTATTTAATCTATACTCTAATTTTTACAACTTCACACTAGTCGTCGCTTCCTCCTCTTCTTCCTGCGAGCTGTGCACTCCTTTCTTTTCCTCCTCCTCCTCTTCTTTTTCTTTTCTCTCTCAAACACATGATACTCTATGTAAGTATTATTGATTGAATATGAAATACTTAGTGATTTAGCACGGTACCAATAACATGGTTACATGGCCTGTTTATCATGGTGAAATTAACTTCATGGATGCATCTTATTTCACTGTCTCCAATTTCATAATGGGGAATTATTGGCTCCCTTGGACGGGAGTCTCTTACACGGGTGGTTTTTATATTTATAAGTAATAATTTTTTCTTGGTCTTTTATTTAATTTGATTGTGTTCTTCAGATAATTCCAAGTCTGAAGTTCTTCAGTAGGTCTGAAGTTTGCACTATAAACTGAAGAATTTCAGACTAATTTGCCTGAAATTATCCCGATTGCTTTTGCAAGTCAGGCCAAACTTCAGGCGAAAATATCTAAAGTATTCTTTTGATAAGGTCACACTTCAGGCAAAAAAATCTCAAGTTAGACATAATTTTTTGCTACTTGAGGCCCGTATATCTGAAGTTATCCGAAAAGTGGATATATTTATAATTTTTTGTGCAAAGCAAGTATAAGTTCAATAGTGATCCCAAAACTGAATATAGATGCAAATGCCCTCGTTTTTACATGGAAAATAACAAATTAACATGGCGATTCGCTGGGAGATTTCTTTAAAATTAACAGCGAAAAAGTTACACACATTGCAATTATCCACTAATTAGAGAGACCAACCTGAGAGTCGAAATTAAGCTACAAAATTACAAAAAAAAAAAAAAAAAAAAAAAAAAAAAAAAAAAAAAAAAGATAGTACCAACACAATTAAGAAAAACAAAAAAGCATAAAAAAAACATGCGACTTCTTAAAGTTTCGTTTTAGTTTTATCTGTTGTTATGCTACCCCCACCCCTAAAACTAAAACCATATAGCTAAAGATCGAAATCACTGCTATTATTACAACTAGTTTAGGGTTAGTAGTTTTTATTATTAACACCTCCAAGCTGACGTGGCTACTAGGGCCCTATCATGCCAGCACAGCAACATCTCCGCTTGTCTCTTTGCCACGTGGAATCCCCTAACCTGTACCCTCCCTAACAAACAATCTGCTTGAAAATCTGCAAACTGGCTTAATCCCACCGGCCGGAATCCGGCAGCCACCATCGCATCCTTCCACGAACCACCTCCTCGCCGCCCTACTGCCGCCACCATCTCCACTATCTTCGGGAACAGCACGAAATTTTCAATTTTCCTCATCCAATCCCCACAATTTCCGCCACCGATATTTGCTGCTTCTAGTGATTCCAGCAACGTAGAGTAAAATTCCAGCCCATCAATCACTGTCTGACGAAACGACGCTGTTCCGTAACCCATCAGCCCTTCGCTGTCCACGTGTACCACCATGTTAGGGGAAATACGACGGAGGTTGTTAACAAACCCTGACCCGATCCGTCGGAAGATAGCGGGGGATAAAAGCACCGCTGTCTTCTCTCCGTCCATGAACTTTATTGCTTTGAAGGATAACAACTCGAAAGTTCGAATTAGCACAAAATCTATTTCGAAACCGATATTGAGTTCACGAGCAAATTGTGTTAAATTTTCTCTGATTAACCTCGATTCCACAGCGTACTCTTCAGGAACTAGAGCCGTAATTCGAAGAACCGGCGCGTTGGCTTTACGACACTCGGCTTTATCGGCTAACTCTTTCATGAAGGAAGCCCAGTGGCCTCCGAGTCCGATGTCGAAGTCGATGACGTGGACTAGCATCGAGCCGTCGACTGCCTC